TCTATCTATCTATCTATCTATCTATCTATCTATCTATCTCTTCTCTCTCTCTCTCATCTATAGATTCTCCTTTTCATTCTCCACTGTTTTTCGAGACAGGGTTTCTCTGTGTAACAGCCCCAGATATCCTAGAACTCTCTATATAGACCAGGCCTGCCTTAAACTCAGAGATCCACCTGCCTCTGCATCCCAAGTGCTGGGATTGAAATCACAATATAATTACATAGTTTCTCCATTACCTTTCTTCCCTCCAAACAATCCCATATATCCCTCCTTTCTCTCTTTCAAATTCACAGCCACTTTTTGTATTGTTGTTGCATCCATGTATGTCTACACATGTGCACAGGCACACATTTCTAAATACATAAGTATAACCTGCTTAGTCTGCACAGTGTTACTTGTATGCATGTTTTCAGATGCATACAAGTGCGCTCTTCCTTGGAGAAGATTATTTCTCCCATGTTCAGCATTCCTTAGCTGCCTGTAGTTCTTTGTGTATGGTTGAAGCCTCATGGTCTTTCTCCCATCCATAGTAGCATGTCAATTGTTATTGTCCTTGTTGAGCTCACATTTGGGCAGTTCGTATTGGTGAGACTTTATGGGTGTAGCTTCTGATGTTACTAGGAGACACAGTCTCACAGCAAACTCCCCAATTCCTCTGGTTCTTACAATCTTTCCACCCCCTCTTCTTCAATGTTCCCTGAGCCTTAAGTGTGGGAGTTACATTGTAGATGTATACATTGTGGTTGGGTCCCACGACTATGTCTCTTTGTTGGTTATGGTGTTCTGTAATGGTTTCCATCTGTTGCAAAATGTTTTCCTGATGCAGGGTGAGGACTACACTTATCTGTGGGCATAATATGGTTAGGGATAGGCTGATTTAGAAGAGTATGCATGATTTAGAAATCCCTGAGTTCACTAGCTCTGGGTAGTGCAGTTCTTAAGGAAGGAAGATGACAAAGTTTTCAGTTTTCCTTTTCTGAGGAACATGCTACACACAGATAGAGGTCAAAGGAGGCTAAAAGATCCTTTTTTGTCAAACTTAGTATCTGGTGTATTGATCACTGACTCTGAGGTCTGTGCTGATTTTCCTTAATGGAGTTCTTCAAGATAAATGTTCCAGCCCTCCAGAATAAGAGTGTCTTACAGGGAGAAACTGCAACTAAAACAAGGCTCACTGGGCCAAGTGCAGGCATGAAGACCTGAGTTTGGATCCCCAGCACCTTCATACAAAAGCTGGTTGTGGTAGCCTACATCTAGAGCAGACAAAAGTGACACAGCTCCCTGTTTCTGGGCATATGGTTAAGCTGAGGGGTGCCAGGTATAGTAAACATACACATATGTCTGGTGTATTTAGTTGCTGCATAGTGCAGCACTCCTGGTTTCTAGTCTGGAGACAATGTGTTTGGAGACAATGTCTTGAAGACAAACATGAGAACTGTTTGTCTACAGGTGCTGCCAAAGATACTTGGAATAGAAGGTTGTTGTCTACAGTGGGTACAATCTGCTCTTGGATGAAGAGACATCACAGACAGATAGGAGGTGTAAGGATATGTTGTCAAGACAGCTATTCAGCAGAAAGTGACCATGGAAACTCCATTCAGACTCACTTAACTTAAAAGAGGGATTTATTGGCTTCCATGGAAAAATCTGTGGACACATCTGAAAGGTTCCTTTATCACATTACAGACAGATAGGAGGTGTAAGGATATGTTGTCAAGACAGCTATTCAGCAAAAAGTGACCATGGAAACGCCATTCAGACTCACTTAACTTAAAAGAGGGGTTTATTGGCTTCCATGGAAAAATCTGTGGACACATCTGCCTTACAGCCCCTGATTTATCTTTATTATCTTTCTTTATCAAGGGACCTCTGGAGCTTTCTAGACTTATTTTATAGCACCCAAGTCAGCCAGAGGTAAAAGAGCTTACCTCTTTACTGAGGGTAACCAAGAGGGTATCAAGATTTTGATGGTTCTCCATTGGCTCACATGGCTGTTGTTGAACCAATTGCTGTGAGTGGCTATTTCCAATGGCAAGTATAGACCCCTACGACCACTCTTGGGACCAGAAGTCAAGTTCATCACCATCCCTATTACATGACTTGAGGATCAGGAAAGAAAGAGATGTATGTGCCACAGGTATTCAGAACCAGATCAAGATGCTCTGAGAGAAGCGAGCTCTGAATTAGGAAGTACCATACCTCCTAGAGACCTAAACTTCCACATCTTCTATTAGAACCAGAACAGTCTGACCCATCAAGCATCCCTACACAATGTACACAAAACGCTGACATTGGAGTAGATATTTAGGAGGAAGAAAGTATGAAAGATACCCTATGGGATGTGGGAGCAATCTTACAGACTGAAGACAGGCAGGAATTTCCCAGAATGGGAAACCTTCCTCATTCACATGGATGGCAGTATTAGGATGAGAGAAAAGCACGAATTCTTTAGATTAAAGCCCGATGTCACTATCTTAGAGACCTGTCCTACAGTGACGTCTCCTTTCACCATTACTATCTGTTTGTCATTTTCCTATTCACCATATTGCCTATCAGAATCCAAATAACCATGACCATACGATAAAATATTAGTTATCTTTGCTTGACACTGGTATTTAATTGGAATATAAAAATATGCTTATTTATCTTGTTCATGATTAATATGTCTAGCCCCAGGAATAGTGCCTGTCACATAGTAGTTAGGCAACAGATACCTATTGACTGAGGGAGCAGTTGTTGCTCCTGAATAATGTTCTGTAAACTAGGAGAGCCAGAAATACTTGGAGTTAAGTAAGTTCTCTGAATCTGTGTGTGTGTGTGTGTGAGAGAGAGAGAGAGAGAGAGAGAGAGAGAGAGAGAGAGAGAACTCCATTATCTTCAGAGACTCTTCAAAGTAATATTTTCATGAAAACTGTATCTTCTTATAAAACAGAAGAGATCTGAGGTGTAAAGGTTAACTCATGGACCTCTCTTGGATCCTGGGGTCATCTGTGGGTCTGTGATCTTTGCTTATCTCAAGGGTTCATTTTTCCTTGAGAGACTGTCTTATTGTATCTTCATGAGATTTTTGGCAAGTTCACTCTGTAGAGAGAGAAAGCACAGAGCTCTGTGCCCCTTTGCTATACTCCCCCTGCCAGGTTGTAAGCTGCCAAAGGAAAAAGTCTATTTCATGTGTTCTCGAAGCTCCTAGCACTGGCGTGTGATGTATTGAAGGACCATTGGTTGACATAAAATAAGCAGCGTGTGACTAAGTTCCTAAAATCCTTGTGTCTGCTACAGTGACCTAAAACTTGACAACGTGATGCTGGATTCTGAGGGCCACATCAAAATCGCTGACTTTGGCATGTGCAAGGAGAACATCTGGGATGGGGTGACAACCAAGACATTCTGTGGCACTCCAGACTACATTGCCCCAGAGGTGAGAGCACACACATACCCGAAATATCTCTCCTGCTCCCAGGCGGCTCTGAGAGGGCTGGAAAGGGTTGGGGGCAGTACCTGGGAACCTTAGACTAGCCTGGATCCTGCTCCCTAAGTCAGCTCTCTGAGTTCTCACTTGCAGATCAGCAGAAGCTCAGGCTCCCAATATGTCAAGATTTAGGAGAATTTTTAAATAAAACCCAAAAGAATGATCCAGCACACATCAGTAAAAACACATCCATCATCAGACTGTGATGGCTCGTGGCCATCTGATGCCTCCTAATTATGACATTGAAGTGTTTGTTGAGAGAGTGAGAGACAGAAAGGGAACAGATCCTGTGGGCTGACATGACACAGCGGTGCTACACTGTGTCGTGGAGATGCATTCTAGGAGACCCTAAATTTTTCTTCCTGTCATAAAATTAGAGGTAAAGGGTGAAGTTTTATCTAACGAGTCCCCTTCCACCCAAAGGAAGTGGTCAAACCTAGGTTTTCCCAACATGACATGGCATAATAATTAGTGAATACATGGCACAAGAGTCTTGGAGAGAGACATCCTAGGATTGTTCTTTTCCTTAGCTAGCTGTTGGCCACTTGGTATACAAGAATGGTCTTAAAGATTCCCCATGGAGATAAAGAACTAGGCATAATATTTAAAACCTCATGTTCTTTACCCAAGCAGCTCTTTTCTGGAAACTTCGGTTGCACACACAGTCAAATGCACATACATACAGGTTGTGCCTCCAAAGTCCTTCCTTCATTTCAGCATTGTTTCTTAATAATGAAAACTAAGAAAGAACCTCAGTATTTATGACTATCAATAAAGGAACAATTCATTAATACATACCACATTTGGGTCAGGAGGTCATGTGTAACCTTGGAAAGATCAGAGCACATCTGTGTGAACCCATCAGAAACAATGTCCCTCAATAGGGTTAGAGCAGGAGACTGTGGTTTACATGTAGTAGAAAATATCACTATTCACCAATTCAAGAGAGTAAGTTAAATCTGTGTGAAAATATGGACCTGTTCTCAAGACATATTGGTAAAAGAAAAAAAAGAAAAGAAAATCAAGCTAGGCATGATTATACCCACCTGCCATCTAAGCATGCAGGAGGCTGACACAGGAGGAACTTGAGTTGGAGGCCAGGTTGAACTACATAGCAAAACTGTTCCACACATGGAAGAATAAAAATAAGACAAAACATGCAAATAAGGAATAACAAATATGACAGTACTGTTTATAGACAGTGGCAGTAGCACACAGAATGCTGCTGTGTGTTTTCTCTGAGTATACGAGTGCTCATGGAAAGGTGCAGAAATCTGCCTGGGAGATGACACGTTGATTTCAAACGCTGCAGAGGGTAAGGGTGCTTCAGTTTGTGTCATTGATGCGTGCCACAAGGTAAGTGCATTTGTGTATCCCTGTGTGGCATACTCAGGTTGGTTATTGTTACAATAAATCTTTCCGCTAAAAGCTGCCTGAGCCCCACCGCCAGGTGTGTGCTTTACGCCAGCTGCCTGCCCGAGTTAGGCTCAAATGAATACACAGAGACTTGTATTAAGTTCAATGCTGCTTGGCCAATGACTAGGATTCCTCATCCGTTAGCTCAGTCTTAATTATCATAAATCTATATATTTTATAAGACTTATCTTATCGGACACCTTATTGGCATCCCTCCTTGCCAGTGGCTCACATCTTGCCTCTGGAGGAGGAAGGGGAAAAGAGGGCCCCTCCTGTTTCTCTTTCGCTTAAATATGAGTCTCCTTGCTATGTCACTTCCTGCCTGGATCAGCACTTTTCTACTCCATTTCCCAGAATCCTCTGTGACTCCTAGTCCCGTCTAACTTCTGTCTCATTGGCCAAACAGTATTTTATTTAACAATCAAAAAGATAAACACACATAGTACATTCCCCATCAGGTTATCATTTGACTAATTCTTCCTAGTATCCGACATACTCTAACACAGTTCCTGGGTGTGTCCTTTGTTCAATGAGTACTACTTCCCAACTCTGGCTATATTTAAGAGTCATGGGGGAGCTTTACAATTTTTAGGATGCCCAAATGTCACCCTTTAGCCATTGAATCAGAAATCTCTGTAGAGTCATGGTCTCCACCGGTCCCAGCTGGTCACAAGGACTGCTGAGGACACTGAGCCCTGAGCTGTGCTGCTGACTGCCTCTTCCTCCAGCTCACCATCGGGTGACTCTGTCCTTGGCCAAGTTTTGTTATTAACTACCCACATCACCTCTGGCAGCTTCTCTCACCTTCCTGGCTCTATTTTCCTTGGTAAAAGGATTAACTTCTTGGGCTGTCAGGAGGAGCAAATAAAACACCAAGTACCTTAAAGGTGTGAAAACACGTTCACCCAGAAGCTTCTCGAAGAGGCTGTGTCTTGCCTCTGTTCAGAGCACATTTACTTCTTCTTTTGCTTCATTATTCATCTGTTTTAAATTTCCGAATAAAAATATGTGTAGCTATAGTGTACAGCATGCTTTGTGCATGGGGAAGGGCTGACTTGAGTTAATTTGCATATGTATCTCAAGTACTTAAACTTTCTGTTTAAAATCTACACTGGGCAGTTTAAATTTGCATATGTATCTCAAGTACTTAAACTTTCTGTTTAAAATCTACACTCGGCAGTTTAAGTACTTAAACTTTCTGTTTAAAATCTACACTGGGCAGTTTAAGAAAATATTTAGTGTGTGTGTGTGTGTGTGTGTGTGTGTGTGTGTGTGTGTGTGTCTGTGAGCGCTCGCAGCTCTCGTGTGTGTGTGTGTGTGTGTGTGTGTGTGTGTGTGTGTGTGCCTGTGAGCGCTCACAGCTCTTGCATGCAAAAATATACCACAGCACACTTGCACATGTGGAGGTCAGTGGACAAGTCTGTGGAGCTGATCTCTCTCCAGCTACCTTTTCCTGGCTTCCAGGATTGCATTGGGCTCAACAGGCTCCTACAGCAGCACTTTACCCATGAAGTCATCTCACTGGTCTTAAGCTCTTTTTTTGAGCACAGTTTTGCTATGTGACTGAGGCTGGCTTTGAACTCATGGCAATTTTGCTGTCTTAGTATCTCAGGTGCTAGGATTACAGGTGTGTGCTCCAGCCCCTGGCAATCCTAGTAGATTTCAAGAAGGCAATTCATTGTTATTATCTGTCATAGCCATGTTATGCTGTAGAGCTCTACAACATGTGACTCCTAGCTGATGAAGTTTTTATCCTTGACCATCATCTATGCATTTCTGACTTGGGAGCAGAAGCTAGGGAGGGAGGCAGGCTTCAGGGAACAAACACTTTCTGTGTAACCAGATTTGCTCTGATGCATTTATTGGATAAAACAAGCAATAACTGAATTATAGAGCATTCTAGTAGAAGGCAAGGTGAAGGATGAGGTATAAGAGGTGTTCAGTATCTCATTCATTCATCACCACAAACCCCCATTGTGTGCATAGTGTATCCAGTCTGTAGAAGAAGTTAAGTAACTTTTCTTAAGGCCACACTGGCAAATAGCAATTAGGATACAGCATTAGACCATCTAGCCCACAAACCTCAGTCCTCAACCTTTGCTGTCAGCATTCTTGCCTTAAACACAGCTGCTTCTTCACTCTATAGTATGAATGGGAAACAGTTACAGCTATCAAAACCTGTCAGCCATGGGTGCTATTTGATCCATGAATCCTACTTCCATTTATTTAATTTATGGAAACAATTGGAGATTTATAAGACAGATTTTAGTGTATGTATCCATTCAGTGGAATCTTATGAAGAGGTAAAAACCAATGGTGGGGATTGGTGACCTGACTTGGTGGACAAGCGTGCCCATTGCTTTTCCAGAGGTCCTAAATTTGCTTCCCAGTACCCTTGTGAGGTGGCTCATGACTGCCTATAGCTTGATCTCCAAGGGAATTTGAGCTAGCCTCCAAGACCACTGCACTCATATGCACATACCCACATATTCACACATAATGCAAAGTAAAACTAAAATCTTAAAAAGCAATCAACCAATGTGTCAGCACACAAGTCAGGTGGAAATGCGGAGTGAAGAGCACACTCCACTGAGTGTTCACTCCTGAAGTGCCTGAGCTTCAGTAGAACACACACAATGTTTAATATCAGTCATGGAAGTGTCTAGCAGGGGACAGGCCAGTGTTTATCGTTATTTTTCTCTTGACAAAGAATTATGGATGGTTTCTTACAAAATTCTTTTACCATATTTATACTTTCTGAATAAGAACAGATGCAAAATAATCACAAATCGCATTTACATTTTAAACTGATATATTTTTAATCATGGTTCAGAGGAAGCACACTGAGCTGTGGGTGTGGGTCAGCAATAAGTCACTCAGAATTCGTGAGGCCCTGAGTTGAATCCTCAACTAAGCCAAACAGATGAAAAACAAAAAACCCACATGTTGTAAAACTTACCATATTGACCATCTTTAAGTGTGTGTCTCAGTAATGTTAAGTACATCCACGTTATTGTGTGAATGTTTTTACTCTATAGTGAGAAACAAAAATAACTGCTCCTGGCTAAAATGCCACACACAGAAATTCAAAACATCACACCATACCTGGTGCTTAAAAAGGCAAGGTGGCACACACAGATGTTTGCCCAGCTGCAGGTACCTTTGCAAAGTGTGTCTTTTATCCCCAAGCATCAAACATAAGGGAACAGCTCGGGTGCACCCTACCCTTTCTGTTTACTCTCTGGGACCCTGCTTAAATGTAGGACTATGGCAGCCACTGTAACCTTCCACAGAAGGACAGGATCATACCTGAGACTCTCCAGCCCAGTGCTAGTCTACTCTTTACATACTCTTTACATACTCTTTAAAAAGTGTGTATTCAGTCTCCAGCTACAAGGGCTGTCTGCCACTCTGATAGGATGCCTTCTGTTTTCCAGATCATCGCTTATCAGCCCTATGGAAAGTCTGTGGACTGGTGGGCATTTGGAGTCCTGCTGTATGAAATGTTGGCTGGCCAGGTAATTGAATTTTAAGTCATCTGTAAGAAAACTGTCCTCCACTTCCAGCCACATGGTCTCTGAAGGAAGTGACAACTCAGTCATAGCTCATGAATCTGAGTGCCTCTGACTTTCCTGGCCTTGGGGTATTTAAGTTTGATGATCATCTTTTCTCTTGGAAGCCCTAGAGTAGAGCCTCACCTTGAGATGGGGACAGGGAGGAAGCCCCGCTGGTCAGAGAAAGCTGGGGGTAGGGAGGGCCAGGCAAGGGTTCCTCTCCCACCCTGTCCTCTTCTCCACAGGCACCTTTTGAAGGGGAGGATGAGGATGAACTATTCCAGTCAATCATGGAGCACAATGTGGCATATCCCAAGTCTATGTCCAAGGAAGCTGTGGCCATCTGCAAAGGGGTAAGTTGTTTGGCACTCAAGGCCAGGACTACCATGCAAAGGGTTCAGGTTGTGCCCAGCTAGTAGGCACCAAAGATTTGACATCACTTCTCACTGTGCTGCCAACACCAGAGCCCTGCTATGAAGCTGCTCCCCCACCACCACCAAAAAGAGCTTCCTTCTAAGGTCTGTAGAGGCAACTATGTACTGGAGTCTCGATTTTGGCTGGGCACCAGCCCCAAGCCTTACACAAGGAAATAATTACATTACGGAATGAAAGAGGTAGGAAACAGAGATTCTGCCCAAGATCTGGAACCATGGGAAGGGCACAGTGTGATCTACGTGTCCTGCTCTGCTGCGTGTGTGTTTAGTTAACATTAGAATTCTGTGATTCTTGTTGTAAGAAAATTTCAGGCAGTGATGATCTGAATAAGATGCCTTCAATTTAGTGTTCCCAAATCTGCATGATCTCCCTCATCTTGTAGTGTACAGGTGTGCAAATACTTCTGTACACGTGTATACACACACAGTTGAAAGGACACCCACAACTTATGGAAATAATACCTGCAAAGACAGGAGTTTACAGGTAAGGACTGTTTGTGCTACACCTTGTATTGGATCCAGTCTGTGCCTTTTAGACTGCAGACTGAAGCCCCATCCCAGAGATTAAGTCTGTGTGCTAGTGTTCTAGAAACTGCTCTACCCCACCAATGTGGCTTAGAACTCACTGCCTTTGAACACATTATCCAAAGGATGCACTTTCTCAACCATGACAGAAGTATGAAGGCTACACTCTGAGACTGAGGGAATAACGTGGAAGGATAGAGATTTTATAAAGGTTTTCTCACCAGCCAACAATGAGGGCAGGTTCTAAAGGTTATACTCAGGCTTTGCCTGAGCACAGGACTCTCCTTGTGTGTCTACATATGCCAGAGCTGTAGTCATAGATCTCTGGGATGCTTGCATCTTCCCCATGCCCTACCCCGCCCAGCTCTAGTTGACCCCATTCAGATGCCATCTCTGGTGGCTTTGGCTAAGGAAACTGGCAACAATCAGGCAGCTCAGCCTGAGTCTTGACCCAGATGACATGAGCTGGGCCAACCTCACAGCTTGAAAATACCTTGTAACACTACCTGAACTCTCTCTCCTAAGCGTTGTGTTTGTGCTATACAAGCAAGGATACAGACATCTCTAGGGGAGCCACGTGTGAATTGGCCTCAGTCTCTAACATCTTCAAGTTAAATTGGCTTCAGATTTTTTTTTCTTGCAGGGTGTGAAGCAGGGAGAAAATAAAAACAAGGAACACAGAGGAGAATTGGCAAATCTCATAGATAAAACAGACTGCAGACAGGCTTCTCCAGTGAGGCTCCTAGAGACATCCTATCAGGAGAGGTGTGGGAAGAAGTCAGTCACAAAGACTTTAATTTGTTTAATGATTCTCAACATCTGAAGGTCTAGATATTCCCCATAAACCCTTAGCTTTTCAGCTTCCACGTTGGCCTGCCATTCCTACAAAGCATCAGTAAGACTGGAAATCACAGTGCCCTTTAGATGGGATGTGCCCTCTCCAGTTTTTAAAAACAAACACAAACACAAACACAACAACAAAATGGCCAGATTCCACCTGGGTTCAAATTCAAGTCCAAAGATATGAGCCACTGTGATCATGGGGAAGCTGTTTGACCTGATTTACAGATTGAGGACAATAACAGTGCTGCACATAGGGGCCTTTGATGATTAAAGCAGTTAATACCTAAAAATCACTTAGACCAGAGCCTGGATTCTGCTCCAGAACCCTAAGGCCATCTCCAATATGACTAATGCTGTCACTACTCTGTTTAGTGCCAGGCTCCTCTTGGCATTTGAATTTGTGTCCCCCTGTGACAGGAGAATTTGAAAAAAAAATGAAGGATTTAGGAGATCAAAAGGTGCTTTTAAATCCTCACCCTCTCATTTCTTAGGTGTGTGGTCTTGTATTTTTAGGCTTCTGTTTCTTCATCTCTAAAGACAGAATAAAAGTACGTACTTTACTGTTTCCCAGAAGGTTAAGTGAGGCAGTGGAAGAGGACCCTTGTTGCATGGCTAGTAGGTAGTTGGTGTCCAATGCATACTCATGGACTTCTACTACCTAAATCCATGGCTGACTGGACAGCTGGGGGGTTCTAAGTGGGTCATGGAGGAGAGAAAAATTTCCAGGTCAGCTGCCTTCAGCTTCAGCTCCAATTAGCACTTTGCCTGGTGGAAGGGTTTCCTATCAATTCAGGATCCATAACCTTCATGATGAACTGGAGTGACTCTATTCACTGTTGGTGTTGGGGCACTGTTGTGAGTTGAGTGGGCTGAGTGCAGTGTGGGCTCTCTCTTCAAGGCTGATACTCCTTGGAAGAGGGGTGATGCTTAAGCCAAGAGCCAAATGCTTCCTCCTGAGCAGAGGCCCCAGGAGATGATCTGGGAGGTGATCGAAGATGGGAACGGTGATTACATTCAGCTGTCTACATGGCTTCAGGCACAAGAGAATGGAGTACAGGAACTGGCAGAGCCTCCTCCTGCTCTGTGTGCCTACAGCGGCACTTCTTTGCTTGCAGTCTCGCTGCCTACGAGGAATCTGAAAACAGACATCTTTCCCAAAGATACCATCTTCTTTTATATGTCTAGCTCATTAAAAGCCCTATTTTCCACCATGAAAACAGCAAAAGCTTGCTCAGATTTCCATGGCCAGTATGCTGAAAGCAGACAGACGCCTAGACTGGCAAGTTGAAGTAAAAATAAACAGAGACTGAGTTACAGTGAGCTGAGAGAGCTGAGCTATTCAAACTCTGACCCTGGGGCTGGGGAGGAGACTCCATGGGTAAAGTACTTACCCACACATGAAGACCTGGGTTCAATCCTCAGAACTCACGTAAAGGAGCCCGGTATAGGCACACCTCCATTATCTCAATAGCAAAGAGGTAGAGACCGGAGGATTCCTGGGGCTCACTGACAAATTGGGGGAGAGGTTCCAGGCAAATATGAGGGAGTCTGCTTCAACTAGACAAGGTGGCAAGTGACTAAGGAAGACATGGGTAGCTGATCTCCGGGTTCTATATATACCTACACTGACACACAAATATATATCCACACAAACGTATATACACACAAATGTACACATACACATATCCATACACACAAACACACACACACACACACACAGAGAGAGAGAGAGAGAGAGAGAGAGAGAGAGACAGAGAGAGAGAGAGAGAAAGAGAGAGCTCTTCTCCTTGGCTGTGTAACTTTAAGCAGATTACTTTACTTCTCTGGACCAGTTTCCTTATAGAGAAAGTAGGAAATATAGTTGCTGAAGCCTCAGAGTGTTACTGTAAGATTCAAGAGTCATAAACAAAGGCTGGGTTGCCTTTAGCACAGAAACCAGAAACTCAGTCCACAGAAACATTATCGGTGTTGGTGTTATTGCTATTGGGGCTGAGATTGCCTAGACCAGTGGTTCAACATCTGGATGGAAATCCTTTGGGCTCACCCAAGACATAGAAAAACTCAGATATTTATATTATGATTCATAACAATAGCAAAATTGCAGTTACAAAGTAGCAATGAAAATAATTTTATGGCTGGGGGTCACCACAACAAAAGGAACTGTACTAAAGGGTCACAGCATTAGGCAGGTTGATAACCACAGTCCTAGACTTTCTTTCTACCCATCTAAACCCTAAATAAATGCCAAGGCTTGACTCAATTTGCTTGCCCTCCGTTGACTTTTCCTGACTATGTCAGACCACAAATATCTCTAGGAGAACCACATGCATAGTGTATAAAGTGAGTACATGACCTCTCCAGGATCTGGTTGAGGAGAAGGTTTTTATTGTAGATATGAAGGAGAGAACAGCCAGAGGCATTTGAAAGAGTCCAGAGAAGGGAGAAAAAATAGTACACTGATCATGACCAGTAGACTAAACCATGGGAGAGAGCCAGAGAGGAAGGGAACCAAGTGTGGACAAAGGTGACATGGGTGGGGTGCAAAATAGGTAGCAAGAGAAAGGACCACATGGCCAAAATGGCAGGGTTATATGGGAATCAGAAACTGGGGGAAGGGGAACCCATTAGCTGGAGAAGTTTAGGGTAGGGGGCAGGGTGAGAAGAGCCAAGGGTACTGAAGAGGCCAGCATGTGCTTTGTGATGCTAAGAGGTATCACAATTAGCCACACACACCCCTCTCTGCCACTTTGATACTGGATCTCCTTATGAAGCCCAAGCTGCCCTTGGGCTCCTCCAATCCTCTGGTCTCAGCCTATGAAATGCTGGGATCACAAGCATATACCATCATGCCTGGCTCCTATTTCTCTTAAAAGCCCAAATTTTGGAGCTAGACTGAAGTGGGACTGGATCCCACCTGTCACTCTTCATGCCCTTGTTGTTGCCTTGCCATTTCAAGTGGGAAAAGGAACAGACTCACCTCCCTGGGTGACTGTGACAATCCAGTGGTGTCGTGCCTGTCAGTAGAGAAGGAGCTGAGAATGTTGAGAGGATAACGCACACCCGCCAAGTGTATGCCTGTGGCTGTGGGGCATCTTGTGAGCAGCAGTCAAGTCAAATGTACAGCAGTTCAGAATGAATTCCTGGGTTCCCTCTTTACCCACAGCAAAACGGGCGGGGGGGGGGGGGGGGGGGGGGTGTGCGGTTGTCAACTCAGCTTCCCAGTTCACACCTTTCCCTTGTTTTTATACCCCCTGCTGAGACATTTCCCTTTTCTTTTTGAATCACTAACTCCTCCATCTTTCTTCTCTGTTCACTTGCGTTCACTTGCTTGCCTCTTGAGATCAGAGACCCTCGAATGTGGCCTCAGGTTCATTTCCAAGAGGAAGCCTGGCTGGTTTCATCTCAGGGCATCTATTCATCTTGTTATTTAGCACTGGCTCACAGACACAAAGATGGAGAGTTTTGATAATTAAGTAATTTAAACAGAATACCAAAGAAACCTCAGCGGAGCGGAGGCTAATGTGTGATACGGGGGAAAAACGAGCTGGGCTAGGTTTTGACTATTTAATGAGCTTTCTGAAAGTAATTACTTGAAACTTGGGTCCGTGTGACTAATATTTTTCGTTTGTTTTTTGTTTTTTTTTTAATTTCTCAAATGCTTTGCTGAGAAATGCAAATGGCATGTGAATGAATGCATCCTTCGAGTTGGTCAAATGTCAGTGTTTCTTACGGCAAGAGGAAGGGGGTTTGAAGATGTAGAGACTGCCCTCATTAGGTACACTAGTAACACACAAAACTCACTCTTGAACCCAAACAGAGCCTGTGACATTTTTAATGTGAAGTTCAAGGCCACATTGGAGCTTGGATTTGATTAGCCCCGTGGGATTTTGTTCTGGGATGGGCATCATTTCAGGCTTCTCTCCCACAGAGACCTGGCTAAGAAACTGTCACTGGGATGGATGAAACTGCAACAGTAAAACCAGTTAATATTCTACATTGTGCTTCCTTTTCTAAGTCATTGCGATAATCATTTCTCAGCAGCTCCCACTTCCTGGCCTGAAATATGCTCAATGTTTTCCTTCTCTTTTAGCTAATGACCAAACACCCAGGCAAACGTCTGGGTTGTGGACCTGAAGGGGAGCGAGACATTAAAGAACATGCATTTTTCCGGTATATTGACTGGGAGAAACTTGAACGCAAGGAGATTCAGCCACCATATAAACCAAAAGCTGTAAGTAAACTCCCCTCTCTGTCTGCCTGGTCCTCAGACACAATGTGCACTTTCTTTTGCTGGTCACACGCTGACTGCTTCCTGAGGTGTGGACATCAGTGCACCCACTTGAATATGTCTGTAGTTGTTCCTTCCCCTTCCCGTGTGCTCCAAGTCACTGGATACCAACATGGAGATTTCTAGTGCAAAGCCAGGCCTCTGTAAATAATGGGAAAGACAATTAATATGGAGGCTTTTGTTGTTGTTGTTGTTGCTTTGATTCAATTACTGTAACTGTTTGAGCTGACACCTTTGTGGGGGCATGGTTCTTGGGTGAGCAGAGTCCAGACTTATTTTGGAATTGTGATGAAGAATCTAATTTTGCCCTCCTTCCTTCCACAGTTCAACTGTGTCATTTTCTCTTCAGACTGACATTGAAAAGGTCATGTTGTTTATCACAATGGTATTTAAATTAAATTCTGAAACATACAGTACCTCTGATTCGGCAACTGAGAGTGGTTCACCAGCCAGCCCTTTCCCCAGGTGAAGGAGAAGGAAGCAGAAGTTGCCTGGGTGTAGACTAGACACTAGTAATGTCAGAATAGACACTTCCCATTCCCCTATAGTCCATGGGAAAATTTTGCTGCTCCAAACACCCAGTAAGATTCTTGCTAGTTTCTGGAGTGGAAGGGCAGGCATTTGTACCTGTATGAACCAGAGCTGTGATTCTCTGGGGTGGATGTTTCTTTGTTAATGTTAAGTACAGCGCAGATCTGGTGACTTTATTATGTGTTGTCAAACTATTGAACATAAGCATTGTCATTGAAACATGAAGTTGTAAGGGTCTCAGTGTTCAGATGAAGAAGGTGACAATGATAGTTATTTCAATGTGATAATTGTTAATTTCTTGAGCTTTTATTATGTGCTAGGTACCATGTTAAACATTTCATATAGCCCAGAAGGTGGGGGCTGTTTGTTGTCCTGGAATGTGGGAGAAGAAAGTGAAGATTCACAGAGGTTAAGTGCTCTGACCACAGTCATCCAACTGCTGTGGTATGGGCTAAAGGGAGAACCCATATTCTGGACAGTCTAACTCCTTTGGGAACTTTCTAGAATGTCTAGGGAAAGGGGACAAGAAAATCTCCTAGGTGGTCCTCATAGCTGCCCTGTAAAGCTGCCCTGTCTCTTGATCCAGATGGCTAGAGCCACAGTTCTGCAGCAGCCCTGCTGAGTGCATCCGAGTGCTGCTGAGAAGCCAGTTCCAGTGCAAGTAATCAGTTCCATGTTGGGACTTTTCTCCCTTGATGAATATTCTAGATTAATACCTAATTAATCTTCCCAAAATGTCCAGCAGAGAAACCCCTCTCTAGACCCTCTAGAGACTTGTGGGCTTAAATTTAAAATCCCATTTCCTGACTAAACCCCTCCTGAAAGCACAGTCATATGACATCATTTCCAAATGTCATACAATTCGTCTTTAAACAATGACACAGGCCAGAGCATGACATGCCTAACATGTCATGCCTATACGACCAGCAGTGAGTAAACGCTGCCCCTTGACTATTTTAGAGACTGTAAAACCAGTCAAGTGCTCTCTGACCTACTTATTTTTCATCCTCTGTAGTGTAAAAGATAATGGCCTGCATCGGAGGGCCATTGTGATACACAAAAGCAATTGGGATGAGCCTGGCACACAAGTTCTCAAGGAGAATTGGTCATAGTGGTCAGTGAAGTCATAGAGTAGTTAGCATCTTGGGTTTAGGATCTTTGAGAGGCAAATACTATTCCTTAAAGGTAGTGTCTGTGCTCAGTCCTGGGGAGAAGATAGGGCCACATGTCCTTGGCAGTACAGCTGCCTTTGCTGAACCTGTTGGGAATAAATCAAAAGGTGACTTGAAAGGGATGAGCAGAATCTTTTTCCAGGAAACTGGAGATTCCGAGATAAGGCAATGGCATGTGTGTGTGTGTGTTTGTGTGTTTGTGGTATGTGTACAAGTGTATGTGCATATTTGTGTAAAGAGGTATGCATATAGAGGCCTGAAACTGGCTACTGGACTTGTTTGATTGTTTTCCCCCTTATTCACCATAATAGGGTCTCCCAGTTAAATCCAAATCACTAATAGGACTGGTCTGGTTAGCCAGGTTGTATTCGGATCCTGTCTCAGCCTCTTAATGGCTACAGGAGATCCAGGCTCTTCTAGCTGTTGTGCTTAAATGGCAAGCTTTTAATCCCCCAAGCTATCTCAGCAGTGCCCCCCTCCACTTAGTTTTTGCAAGGCTATTTATAAAAGATTTCAAAATGTGAGCCTCTCCTTTCCTTTCTTTGCCCATGTCCATTAAAAGCTTGTGTTAGAGTTTCAATCCAGTGGTTTGCAAATGGTGGTCCCTGGACCAGTAGTGACAGCATCGATCTGAACCATGTTCAAATTAAATGGCCAGGACCCAACCCTAGACACTTTGAATCAGGAAGTCTGGTAGCAGAATTTGGTGCAGTGGGTCCAGGAAGCCCTGCAGGGAATCTGAGGCTTGCTTTAGGCTGAGCGTATAACTCAGGCAGGGGAGAGAGGCAGAAGGCAGAGGAAGGTGAACAAAGAACAGTTAGTTACATGAGAGACTGGCTGTCTGCTGTTTGGGGGGTGGGGTAGTGGCTTCTGGCATAATCACAGACTGAGTTGCAGGTACATCAAAGGAAGAAGGAAGGCTGTGAGGTCCAGGAGAAGGATGGAGGGCCAAGGTGAAGTTGAGGCTCAGCAAGGCCTAGGCTTCACGCTCCCATTAGAAGCTGGGGACCAGGACTTCTTAGCTGGAATCTCACTATTTCTTTATAATTGGCAGCAAATGTTTAAAAATTAAACAGAACTCAAGGCAAATAAAAACACATCCATAGCCCACATGTGGCCTGTGGACTGCCAGTTTGTAACCTCCAGGGGTGTTGATGGATCAAGTCAGGGTGACATTTAGCCAGTTCCTGTTAATACTGTTTGTGAGCAGTTAAGAGTTCATCCTGACTGGGAGGATATTTGTGACTATTCCCACTAAGGGTCATGATTCTAAAAGCTTCACTGACTGGGGAGGTAGCTCATGTAGTAAAATGCTTGCCACGTAAGCATGAGGGCCTGAATTCAATCCTCAGATCCCACACACAAAAAGGCAGTGCAGTGAAAGTGGTTTGTACTATTAATCTTCGCCCTGGGGAGATGGAGACAGGGGTTCTCTAAGGCCTCTAAGGCCTGCAGACAAACCAGACTGGCTGAATTGAAGAGTTACAGGCCAAAGAGATAAGCTATCCCAGAAACAAACTGGATGGCTCCTGAGGAACAACACCAGAGATTATTCTCTGACGTCCACACACATACTTGTGCATATACGTGGGTACCTGCACACACACACACACACACACACACACACACACAAGTACATACATACACATCTAGTCTCTGACTGGCTCATAGATGACAGGAAAAAAAAGTAGCTGTCTTTAACATTGGTACTACCAGTACCATCAATTATTGTTATTAATTAACACCAATAATTCTTCTTATATTAATTATGTAATTGAGTAATTGCTAGTAACCGTCAACAAGAGCCTTCAACTGTTCTACCTTGGTACTATTTCCAACCACACAATGTCCTGAGTTCCCTCATGTGGGTTTAATAATGTCTTTCAAAATACATCAACCAGACTAGGGTATGTATTTCTAGATATTTTACCACCAGTCCTAAGAGAAAGAAGGCCCACCTCGATCTCCCTAGACAGATTTAGAAACACAGCTGTTTTAGAATATCTATGGGGGATTGGTTTGAGGATGCCAAAATCCATGGAGGCTCTTATATGAAATAGGTAGTATTTGAATATGACTTATGCATATCCTACTTTAAATCATTTCTAGATTAGTTATACATGATAGAATTAAATGATACATAAATAATTGTTAGTCTGTATCATTCAGAGAATATATTAGTTTACTTTCTATTGCTGTGATAGAACACCATGACGAAGGCAATTTATAAAAACAAAAGAGTTTATTTGGGCTTATGGTTCCTGAAGGATTAGAGTCCATCATGGTAACAAGCAGCAGGAATGGCAATTGGAGCAATCTCTGAGGGTTCACATCTTGAACAGCAAACATGAAGCAGAGAGAGTGAACTGAGAATGGCATATGACTTTGAAACCTCAAAGAAGACCCACCCCCAGCAACATGCCTCCTTTAGCAAGGCCACACCTCCTAAGCCTACCCAAACAGTTCCACCAGCTGGAGGCCAAGCATTCAAACCTCTGAGTCAATAGGGCTCATTCTCATTCAAACCACTACAGAGAGTAATGACAAAAATGTCAGTTCACTGTGTCCATGCACTTGGCAAATGTGCAACATTTTATCCTTGTATTTCTAAATTATTTTGGTTTGGAGGTGTGTGGAGACTAGGCTGGCCTTGAACTCATGATCATTCAGCCTCAGCTTCCCCAGTGCTGGGATTACAGATGTGTAAGGTTGCATCCAGCTCTAAAAGTTATTTCTGAGCCACAATTATGTCAGATGGGTGTGTGTGTGTGTGTGTGTGTGTGTGTGTGTGAGAGAGAGAGAGAGAGAGAGAGAGAGAGAGAGAGAGAGAGAGAGAGAGATCACATGCATACATGATTCTTCCTGTTCATGTTCCTCTTATATTGAAGATCCAGGTTCTATTGTCCTGTCCCCACCCCAGGATCTGTCTTTCCTCCTCCTTCTTATCTGCCTGTCATCTCTGAGATGCCTGTGGCAAGTGTGCAGAATTCCATGTGCCTTGTGGGATATTAAAAGCATGTGTGTACCTGTCAACGTGCCTGATTTATGCATGCTATTAAGTGAGTTCAGGAAGAGAAAACGCAAGTGGCAGAAGCAGAGGACTGTATTCAAACATCAGTGAAGGGTGCTATTATGGGTGGTTCATTAAAATCACTTTAATGGGTTTTGTTTGTTCTCAGTGCTATCTTTTATTGTGGCAAGGAGCAGTTTGGCAGTGCATCGTTTGGAACTATACTAAAA